CCACCACTACCCCAAATCTTTTCCAGAGTCACTGCTTCTCAGGATGGAGTCCCGCATCCTGTAAGTATGGCATACGTTCTTTCTTCCTGGATGTATACATTTGCATTTAGCCATATTAAAACATATTGTTTGCTTGCACCCAGCTTACCAAGGAATCAAGATCTCTCTGTATCAGTGATCTGTCCTCTTCATTATTTACAACTCCCCCAATTTGTGTGTTATCTAAAATTTTATCAGTGATGATTTTATATTTTCTTCCAGGTCATTGATAAAAAAATGTCAAACAGCGTAGCATCAAGAACTGATCCCTGTGGGACCCCACTAGAAACACATCCATTTGATGATGAGTCTCCGCTTACAATTAAATTTTGAGGCCTGTCAGTTAACCAGCTTTAAATCCATTTAATGTGTGCCATATTAATTTTGTATCAGGGATTGGCAACCTTTGGCATGCGGCCCATCAGAGAAATCTGCTGGTGGGCAGGGACAGTTTGTTTACCTGCAGCGTCCACAGGTTCAGCTGATCGCAGCTCCCACTGGCTGCGGTTCACTGTTCCAGGCCAATGGGGGCGGCAGGAAGTGGCGGCCAGCACATCCCTTGCCCCAAGCCGCTTCCCGCAGCCCCCATTGGCCTGGAACGGCGAACCGTGGCCAGCAGGAGCTGCGATCGGCCAAACCTGCAGACACTGTCCCGGGCTCAGGCTTCAGTCCCCCCTCCCAGAGTTGTGTAGTAATTTTTTTCAGAGTAACAGCCGTGTTAGTCTGTCTTCGCCAAAAGAAAAGGAGTACTTGTGGCACCTTAGAAACTAACCAATTTATTTGAGCATGAGCTTTCGTGAGCTACAGCTCACTTCATCGCATGCTGTAGCTCACGAAAGCTCATGCTCAAATAAATTGGTTAGTCTCTAAGGTGACACAAGTACTCCTTTTCTTTTTGTAGCAATTTTTGTTGTCAGAAGGGGGTCACAGTGCAATGAAGTTTGAGAACCTCTAAACTAGATCAAATTTTGTTCTCATAAATGAGCAATTCCAAACCCTCGTTTGTTACCCATGCTCCCAGCCTTGGTACATAGGCAACTCAATAATTTCTTCTCTCCATGTCACTTATTAATTTTATTTTCAACATCTCAATTTTGTGTTGAGTTCTCATATCTTTGCTCTTTTTATCCTCCTCTTTTGTTATTAGTTTAACACCCTCCTGACTATTCTAGCCACCAAGAATATTGGTCCCCCTTCTGCAGAGGTGAAGGCCATCTCAAACTATACAGCCCCCCTCTTCCAACAGAAGGTGAACCAATGTTCCGCAAAACCAAAATCTTCCACCCTACACCACTTCAGACCCTTGTAAAGTATACATGGAATTTAGATAAATTAAAATCACTTTACCAACAAATAAAACTTAGTCTTATGTTCTTAACAAATAACACAAGGATAATCTTCAAATCCAGACTGGATGCTTTTCTGGAAGATATGGTTTAACCAAACACCAGCTTATGCTTTAGTCACACAAATTATTGGGTCAATACAGGACCTGTGCTATCAAGGAGGTCAGAGTAGATTGGGGTGGCCAACCTGAGCCTGAGAAGGAGCCAGAATTTACCAATGTATATTGCCAAAGAGCCACAGTAATACATCAGCAGCCCCCCCAACAGCTTCCCTCCCACCCCATTCCCAGTGCCTCCCTCCCACTGGCAGCCCCGCCAATCAGCGCCTCCCCCTCCCTCCCCACACCTCCCAATCAGCTGTTTCGTGGAGTGCAGGAGGCTGGGAGGAGGAAGGGGGAGGAGCAAGGGTATAGCAGGCTCAGGGGAGGGGGCAGGAAGTAGTGGAGTGGAGGCAGGGCATGCGGCAGAGCCAAGGGTTGAGCAGTGAACACCCCCTGACCCATTGGAAAGTTGATGCTTGTAGCTCCAGCCCCGAAGTCGGTGCCTGTACAAGGAGCCACATATTAACTTCTGAAGAGCCACTTCTCCATTGGCCACCCCTGGACTAGATAATCCCTTCTGGCCTTAAACTCTAAGAATCTATGAATAACCATTTATTGCAAGGTTTCTTGGGCCTCCCCTCTGCAGCAGCTGGTATTGGCCACTATCAGTACAGGAAGCTGTCCCTAGGGTCTGGTTTGGGCCTGTCCCTATGTACTTCTAAGGGGAAAAACAAACACAGAAACCCCCTAAAACACTTCCAGCTCTTCATTTTCTACCATAAAAAGCAGCAGAAAAGACCAAACCTTTTTTTTTTTTTAAATTATCTATGGGTCACTTAAAAGTAATTTCCCACTCAACTGCCTAACATTTACAAATTCAACTCCACTTCTCCTCCATGACATCACCTTGTAAATAAAGAATTTTACTCAATTTCCATACAGCACACGTGCTGCCAGGGGAACAGTAACCAATTGTTTTATTGAGAGCACCCAATATGTACAAAATACGTTTTTTAAAACCCTTGTAATTTCACCAAATCAAGTCCAATTTTCATCAGACCACCAAAAGGCACACTGTAATCTAAGGACCATATGCAAAAACGTGTCAAATGCACATTTATACCATTTTCCACTGAGGCACTAGAGCTGTGCAAACAACAACAACAAAAAAGGGCCACAATGCATTTTTATAATTACAAAATTGTATTTCTTCTCCACCCTCCTGGTTCTTGAAAACAGCTGAACCACTTTACTAAAAGCATGCAAAAATTTCATTCCCACAGAATGTGCCAAATTTTAAAGCAAAGAGTAAAAGATGACAAAGTTAAAAGCATTTGACACACCTCTGCAACCTCTACTCTAGGCTTCACTTTTTAAAAAAGAGGACATCTATCCATGGACCTTGACACCTATCTGTGGCAAAAGTGGGGATCAATGTTGTGATAACAGGAAGGATAGACAGGGCAGGGCTAAGTTATGAAAGGCCTTGAAGGTAAGGACAGGAAGTTTGTGTCGGATACGTGGGAGGAGGAGCTAGCAGAGGGACTAAAAAGAAGGGTGACATAATCAAAGTGACAGGCCAGGAAGATGATCTTCGCAGAAGTATACTAAATAGATTTGTAAGGGACAAGGTTGACAGTTGTCAAGGCCAGAGAGGTCATAGAAGCAAAGTCATGAAATGACCTTCTTCTGCCACCACTCTGACCACATCCCCCAATTTCTTGAATCTCTCCATTAGTTTTTAAGCTCAGGCTTGACAAAGCCCTGGCTGGGATGATTTAGTTGGGGATTGGTCCTGCTTTGAGCAGGGGTTGGACTAGATGACCTCCTGAGGTCCCCTTCCCTGATATTCTATGAGTTCTGTCATTGCACACTGTCATTTATATTTAGAACTGTCTCTCACTTCTTACCCAACAAGCATCCTTGAAACTCAAGGGACACTTATCCGCTATATAAAGTGCTAGTTCTGCCTTATGGTCCCCGTGTTAAGGACCCCGTGTTAAGTTGCTAAATACCAGACATACTTGCCCACAGCATACCAGTCTCTGTGCTGAAAGCAGTTAATGAATCCATCTGAGGACATTTTTGAGCAATACACATTGTGAGATGAGAACATTTAGTAGTCACTATATATGGCATGAATACATTCCGGAGAGTGTAATACAAATACTTGTTAGTATGAGCTACAAAGACTTGTATCAGAGTGGTAGCCGTGTTAGTCTGTATCAGCAAAAAGAACGAGGAGTACTTGTGGCACCTTAGGGTTGTCTATTTTAGTTATTTACATTTGTCTAAAAGTAATTAACTATGCAGGATTACGGCACCTCTACACAACTGAATACATACAAAGAGAGCTATCCATAAAAGAGATTTTGAATCCTCCCCATCTCAAAATATGAACCTTTCCAGAAAACCCTAGGAAAAGAGTTGAGTCTTACAGCATGCCCTGAATGTCATAACTAAGCCCCTACCTCATTTGCAATATTGTGGAAGTTGTAGATCCCACAACATTAGGCTTCTACCGCAATTTGGATTTTAATTGGCTTACTTTGCACAGTCCACAATTTTGCATGTATTTTGAGTATGCAATTAGTACTGCACTAACATACAATGCCTGTAAAATTTTGAAGGCTAAAGTGGACTGGAGTCGATTTCTACAGCAGTTTTGTTAAGACTTTTAATCTTTTAAATTTTATATTGTATGGGTCACTTTCTTTTTTTTAAATGAATGTTTAATATAGTTACAGCAAAATGTCTGGTTACCAAAAAAATTAGCAGGCATAACATAATACTTGAGTGTTTATATCGTTCCAGCAAATTTTTCTTAAACAAGTAGGTCTACTCTGGCTTTTCCAAATTACTGCTATTAATAAATGTCCATTAGTACTTTTCCATGTCTTGTTCTCAACTCAACCGCAATTATTTGAATATGATCCCACGATTCAAGTAGGGTCTTAGTTATAATGGTCCAAGCTTTGCTGGACAGGGCTTGGGAAATTAGCCAGGTCCAGAGTCAAAGGGCCCCTTAAGAAAAATACCCTTCCTCCATCTCCCTTCTGTTTAAAGTATCAGGCTGTTACCTTGAGGTCTCCCACTGAACACCACTGTAGCAACTTCACACTGGGAGAGAGGCAGGTCCCAAACCTTTTAGAGCTTTGTAGGTCAAAAGCAACACCTTAAATTCCATCCCAAACTCCTCAGACTCTCGAACACCAACATGCAAACAAGTTGGCAGACAAACTCATTCAGCAGTAACTTCAGCTGCCAGATGACCTTAAGGTGTAAACCAATGTAGAGCACACTGCAATAGTCTAGTATTGAGGTGACAGTGACAGGGACAACTGTAATGAGGTCTCAGAATTGGAAAGCAAATGTTGCACCCTCCTTGCCAAACGCAGAAGGGAAAAAGCAATTTGGCCACAGCTGCTATTGGGGTATCCAGCGGCTGTCTAAGACCTAACAGAGTCCCTAAATGGCAAACAAGAGTATAAATGGGAGGTGCACTCCCTCGACCAAGCAGACTGATAATCACTACCATTCTTTCCAGTTGCTTCCCCCAACTTTCCAGCATTACCTTGTTCTTATCTGAGTCGAGCCTCTGCCAGCCAGCTTTCATCCATGCCCCAATCTTTGCCAGATGTTGAGCAAGAGTACTTCATGAGGAGTCTATAAGTCAAGACTGTATGCCTTTCTAAAAGGTACGCTCTTAGGCTGGACACAGGAATTCACTAGGTGTAATTCTCTGACCTGTCTTATGCAGTAGGTCAGACTGGATTACCATAATGGTCCCTTCTGGCTTTAAAACTCCATGAAGTGGTTCAGCTGCACCAACTGGACTGGAAAAGATGAGGTATTAAGTTTTCAGTCATCAAGATCCACTAACTGGAAGCAGAAGTTAGACAAATTCAGACTAGACATAACACAAATTTTTACCAGTAAGGGTAATTAACCACCAGAACAACTTACCTGGGCCACAGTGAATTCTCCATCACTTCGAATCTATAAAGCAAGACTGGGTGTCTTTCACTCAGCAACATGCTCTAGCTCAGCCAGAAGTGATGAACTTGATGCAGGAATCACCAGGAGAGATTCTCTAGCCAGGATTGCGCAGGCGGCCAAACTGGCTGATCATAATGGTATAATCCCAAACTATAAAATTGTTACCTTCACTAGGGTAACACTGTGTTCGTCCACTACTCTTACCACCAGTGACCACTGAAGTGAACTTTGCAAGTCTAAGCAGGAAAAAAGGGACTGATCCAACCATGGAAAAGAGAATACCGGTTAGAGAAACTGTAAAGAAGTGACCGAGCAGCAGGAGGCAGTATGGCTCATCTGGAAATGCTCCAGTGGAAGTGACACTAAAGACGAAAGAATTGAACTGGAGATTCTAGTATGTTAGTGTAAATGTAGAGTTAACCAATGGGTATCTATGGAGGCCAGGGATGGAGGAATAGCAGGAGGAGGAGAATTTTCTGTGTGACACTACATAAAGGAAATGGGAACTCAAAAAATGTTGATTTAGGTATGGTGCAAAGATAAGCATGATACCTGTACAAGTCAATGACAGCCTGGCAAGCATCAATCACCCTTAGTGAATGGAGGAGGAGTTACTGTGAATGAACACCTTAAGCTCCTCCTCTTCCCTTCTCCCCCACAACAGGCACTTGTTTGCTCTCTCAGTGGCTACCTCTCACTCTCCAAGTCAAACTCCCTGCTTTGCCCATGTTAGTCTCCTCTCTACCAGCCATGATGGTAATCAACAACTCCATTCCAGCCTATCTACCCCAGTATATTTGGATCTTAACTAATCAGAGCACCAGCTAAGATATCCAGTACTGAAGGATTCAGAGTAGCAGCCGTGTTAGTCTGTATTCGCAAAAAGAAAAGGAGTACTTCTGGCACCTTAGAGACTAACCAATGTATTTGAGCATAAGCTTTCGTGAGCTACAGCTCACTTCATTAGATGCTCAAATAAACTGGTTAGTCTCTAAGGTGCCACAAGTACTCCTTTTCTTTTTGTGAGTACCTGAAGGAGCAGCTCAGTCTAGGACTGACTCCAGGCAACAGTCCTAACATACCCAAGATTGCCAGCCCCAGAGATTCTCCCTATCTCATGCAAACCATATACATCTTCCTTCCCACTAGGAACAATCTGCTTTCCAAAGGGTTAAACCTACCTGTACCAGACTAGGTGGATGATGAAGGCCTTGAGTCACATGTGCTTGGAACAATGGGAAACAAGAAGCTTATCCAGCTGTGCAGTGGGAGGTGGCTGGTTGGTTATGTCATGATGAATTAGCAGGGAAGGTTCTGATCTAACTGAAGCAGGAACTGCTGTAACGCAGCAAACCCAGGATACATTCGAATCCAGCTCTGAAAGGAGAAGGCAGGCAGTGAGTGGGAGGGAAGAGATGAACACAACAAATCAGTGTGAACTTGCTGGGTCAGTGCTGACCCAAGATGTACCTTTGCAAGCTGAGAGAAGAAAGATAGAGAGGCTATCAGCCCCAGATGTTGAAGGAAGAGTGGAGAGTGTTTACTGATATTGCTGTTCCAGGCTATATTCCTGCTGTTGGGCACATCTGGACTCTGGCTATTTTGGGGAAAGTGAACTAGTTCAGGAGCTGTAAGTGTCAGTTTGCTGGTGTATAAAAAAAGGTTACAAAAGACAGACAGCAAAGTACAATGTTTTAGCAGAGACACTGTTACCTCAGCTGTACCAGGACATGGAAGGTGCAGAACTAGCTGTGCTAAGGCAGGTGAGGAGATGTAAATAGAAATGTGTAAGGAGGGTAGGGTAAGATCCAAATATCCTGGGGTAGGTAGGTTGGAATGGAGCTGTTGATCCAGCTGTTTCTAGGGCACATGGGCAACACAAGTGGGTGCAGAGTCATCTCTGCCAGGGCAAGTCCAGAGCAGATCCTGCCGTTCCTGGGGAAGGGGATGCAGATCCAGCTCTGTCTGTGGAAAAGAGGATGTCAATACAGCTGCTCCTTGGGAAGAGTGTGACAATCGAGCTATGCCTGTGGAAGAGGGATGGCACATCACACTAACTCTGCAAGCCAGGAAGTAAGGCGAGGCTGTATCACAGCAAGTGGAGAGAGGAAAACACAGCTGTGCTCATAGGGATGTACAGGGAGGGTAGTTTAATACCCAGCTGTGTTGAGGCCAGCAGGGTGCTCGCTGACGATCCAGATGTTCCAAGAGCAGATGGACCGAGAGGAGAGGATGTTCATGTAGCAGTACTAAGTCAGATGAGCAGAGCAGCGGTGTTCAGCCTGCTCTGTCATGGCAAAAGAACCAACTCTGCCAGGGCTGAAGAGCAGGGCATGGGTCCAGATCCAGCACTGCCAAAACAAGGTATGGGCTAACAGGCAGAAATGGAGATGGGCAGGTAGAAAATGTGCAGCACTAAGGCAGACTGTGCAAGAGACCAAGGTATGGACCTTGCAATGTGTGGTGCCATTTTGGAATAAGAGAGCAGCAATATCTGGTCAGAGCCACAATGTGCCAAAGCAGCTGCTTGGCAGAGCCAAGCAGGGGAAAGCGGACAGGGGATATGGGACAGTGTGGGCAGATGGACTTGTTAGCAGTGCCCAGCAGTAGATCCAGAAATAATTAGGAGGATCTGGGCAGTACCACATAGTGGACAGTGGCATGAACTGAAGCAGTGCCATGCAAGGCCAGGTGAACAATGCCAAGGCAGAAGCAAGTGAAAGTGCCAGGCCTGGCAGGCAGGGAGCAAGGCTTGTAAGGTGGAGACATATAGTAACAAACTGCAGACCGAAGGGCCGTGCTAGGCAAGGAGGGTGCCAAGGTTGAAAGAACAGGAAGCAGTGCTAAGAGTCCCTTTCCGAAGGCAGGAGTGAGTGCCAGGCTAAGGGCAGAACTAGGGGTATCCCACAGCAGAGGTACAGTGCTGGACTGAGGGTAGTGCTAGGGGTCTCTCCAGGGGAGGGGGGCAGTGCCCAGCCTAAGGCAATGCTAGAGAGGGGTCTGTCTCCTAGGGCCAGAGGGCAGTGCAAGCTGAGAGCAATTCCAAGCGGGGAGTCTCTCCCCAAGGGAACGGGGGCAGTGCTGGATAGAGGGCAGTGCAGGGGGTGGGGATCGGGGAAAGAGTATCTCTACCCCAGGGCAGGTGGGGGTAGTACCAGGCATGTCTCTCTTCCAGGGCAGGTGGGAGCAGTAGCACCGCCAGACTGAGCAAGGGCAGGAGAATTAAGCTATCTCAAGGCAAAGGCAGACCCAGCCCCCAGGGTATGTCTCAGGGGCAGGGAACAGTGCCATGTAGGAGAAGATATATCACAGAAATGGGGGTCTCCCCCAGAGGCACTGCTGGGGCTGTGAGGAAGTGGTGCTGGATCTCTCCTAACGCCAGGGGAGCAAGCATTGGGACTGGTCGAGGTCAATCTTTCCTAGCAGGGGGCAGTTCATTTGTCCCAGGAGGAGCCAGTAGGTAGCAGCTGGTCTCACCTGAGGGAAGTAGGACACAGTGCCTGAGGTGAGGGGGGGTCGGTCTCCCCCAGTGGGGGGCCGGGGAGTGGGCAGTATCCAGGACTGGGGACAAGGGAAGGGGCTGGGGTGGTCTCCCTGACAGGGGAATCGGCTGGAGGGTCAGTTTCCCTCGGCAGGGGGCAGAGGAAGGGGTGGTGGGGGGTCAGTCTCCCCCACCAGAGGAAGGGGTTGAGGGATCAGTCTCCCCCAGCAGGGAGCAAGGGAAGGAGTTGGGGGTCGGACTTCCCCAGCGGGGTCAGGGAAAGAGGGCAGTAGGCAGGGCTGGGGGCCAGGAGGTCGGTCTCCCCGACAGGGGGCAGGGAGGGGGCAGTACCCAGGAGTGTGGGGGGCGGTCTCCCCAGAGGAGGGCGGCGGGAGGCAATGCCCAGGGCTGGGGGGGGTCGGTCTCCCCAGAGGGGGGCGGCGGGGGGCAGTGCCCGGGGCTGGGGGGGGGGCGGGTCTCCCTGGAAGGGCGCGGGGGGGGCAGTGCCCGGGGCTGGGGGGCCGGTCTCCCGAAGGGGCGCGGCGGGGGGCAGTGCCCGGGGCTGGGGGTGTCGGTCTCCCCAGAGGGGGGCGGCGGGGGGCAGTGCCCGAGGCTTGGGGGGCGGGTCGGTCTCCCCCAAAGGAGAGGGGGGGGGGGGGCAAGGGAAGGAGCCGGCGGCGCGGGACCCCTCCCACTCCCCCTCGCCCTCACCCTCACCCTCACGTCCATGCTCCTCCCCGCCGGTCCCGGACTCTCCCGCTCCCGGGGCCGCGGCTCCGCTCCCGGGGCCTGCGGGCGCCTGCGCGGCGATGCGGGGAGCGGCGGGCGGCAGGGAGCGTCTGCAAAGTGCGGCCGTCAGGGATCGGGGTAAAGAGCCTCCCGCGCCACGGAGCCGAGCGGGAGCGCGGGAACCTCCCGCCCCGGCGGGGCACTGACACCCCTCCCGTCCTCTCCCCCGCCCTGCCCCTCTCGGCTGGGCACTGACACCCCTCCCCTCCTCCCCCTCCCCCTCCCCCTCCCCCTCCCCCAGCCCTGCCCCCCTCGGCCGGGCACTGACACCCGTCCCCCCCCCCCCCACCCCCTTGGCCGGGCACTGACACCCCTCCTCCCCTCGGCCGGGCACTGACACCCATCCCCTCCCCCAGCCCTGCCCCCCTCGGCCGGGCACTGACACCCCTCCCCCTCCCCTCCCCCGCCCCCCCCCCTCGGCCGAGCACTTACACCCCTCCCTCTTCCACACCCCTGCCCCCTCGGCCGGGCACTGACACCCCTCCCCCTCCCCCAGCCCCCGTGGGCCAGGCACTGACACCCCTCCCCTCCCGTCCCCTCCCCTCTCCTCCCCCGCTCTGCCCCCCTCGGCCGGGCACTGACACCCCTCCCCCCTCTCCCCCACCCCCTTGGCCAGGCACTGACACCCCTCTTCCCCTCGGCCGGGCACTGACACCCGTCCCCCTCCCCCAGCCCCGCCCCCCTCGGCCGGGCACTGGCATCCCTCCCCCTTCCACACCCGCTGTCCTCCTCAGCCGGGTACTGACACCCCTCCCCTTCCCCAGCCCTGCCCCCCTCGGTCAGGCACTGACACCCCTCCCTCAGCCCCTGCCCCCCTCACCCGGGCACTGACATCCCTCCCCTCCCCCAGCCCTGTCCCCCTCAGCCAGGTATTGACACCCCTTCCCTCCCAGCCTCTGACCCCTCAGCTGGGCACTGAGACCCCTCCCTTAGCCCTGCCCCCCTCACCCGGGCACTGACACTCCTCCACACCACACCCACTGAGCCCCCTTCAACCGAGCACTGACATCCCCCTGCCCCCCAACATCCCCTCTGCCCCCCTTAGCCAGGGGCTGGGGACTCACACCCCTCCCCCACCTCCATGCCTCACACAGGGACCAGGCCCTGACAACTCTTCCTTCCCTCACATCTCCTCCCTGTCCCCCAGGGACTGGGCACCACCCACACCCTTGCCACTCCCTGTCCCTCTCCCCTCCAGGGACTGGCATCAACACCCCTCTCCCCATACTCCCTGGCCCCCCTGCCAGAGACCAGGCACTAACATGTCTCCCCTGACACGGTCCAGGTGCCAACACACACCCCCCTGCCAGGGACCAGGCTCTGACAACACAGCTGCACCATCCCTCCCTCCCTGACCACCAAGCAGGCACCAACTGCTCCCCACCCACGCCACAGATATACAGGATTTGTGCTATCCCCCAGCTTTTACACAGTTCTTTGGAGGAACCCCCTCAGTGTGCCAGACCCCACTCTCCCTTAAGGGTAGGCCACGAGGCCTGAATGCCTCCAAGACTGAGGCCTGATCTACGCTACAGAGTTAGGTCAACACAAGGCAGCTTACAGATGTAAGCAGTGTCAGGATGAGCTCCACCCTGACATCTGGTGGTGAGGTGTGGCAAGTTGTGGAAAAGAACTTCAGGGGCCGATCTCATTTGCATAGGCACACCCACCAAGCCTAGAATGAGACCATAGCTGCCCAAATGGTCACTTTGGCTGCTGTGGGATCCCCAGTGTCTCTGTTATTGGGGCAGGAAGAATAAATTGTTATTACCCTGATTATGGGAACTGTGCTTGGAACTGTACGTGGCCTTTTGTTATGATGGAGGGATTCACCATCAACTAAGTAGCACTCGCTAGGCAAGGGTCATGGGTTCCAAAACTGTGAATGGAGAGAGGTTGGTGACAAGTATTAATACTTGGTGGCATGGGCCCCTTGGTGAGGGCCTTACATGCTGATTGCACTTCCTCTTCTCTCCACTGTGGAATATCAGAGCTAATTTTGATTTCATTAGAAGTCTAGTTATAGGCTGCTGAGCTCACTTTGGGCTGACAGTGCACCAGCACTGGGGCTCCCCTACTACAAGCTGAATTTACTGAAGAGCTGAAATCACTGAGTGTTGTGTTGAGTAGTGGGGGAGCCTGAAGATATATTGTGGAGCAGTTTGTGGGTGGCAGGAGCTGCTTGTGGGCCATGGAGCTGAGCAAAAGAGTTTGTGGGGCGGCTGGCGGAGCAGAGCACAGCTGAGCGAAGGAGTTCGTGGGGTGGCTGGCAGAGCAGAGCGCTGCTATGGGGCGGTCAGCTTCAGATCATGTAAGGTGCCTCTTACCCCCGTCCCATTTCCACCCAGGTTGGGAGGTAAAGCTCCGCAGATAAACTTTTGAACTCTGCGGCTGCCCTGACCAGGGACAGAGACTTTTTGGGGCATTGGACTTTTGGGACTTTGGGTGATTTGGGGTTGCTGGACTCAAGAACCAAAGGGAAAAGGGCATGCCCCAATTTGTTTGGGGTGGGTTTTTTTTTGCTCATGGGTTGTGTTATGAATCCTGTTGGTGGTGTTTCCCCAACATAATGCCACATTGTTTCTCTCTGTTATTAAAAGGCTTTTGCTACACTCAGACTATGTGCTTGCGAGAGGGGAAGTATTGCCTCTTGGAGGCGCCCAGCGGGGGTGGTATATATTTGTCCCAGGTCACTGGGTGGGGGCTCGAGCCGGTTTGCATTGTGTTATTGGAATGGATCCCCTAGATATTGATCCCGGCCCTTGTGGCTGCCAACTCTGACGGGCAGAAGGGTTACACATAGACCTAATTATTCAGTGTCTGCACTAGACCTAATTATAGAGTGCAGTGCAGTGTCTACACTAGACCTAATTATTCTGTGGCTGCACTAGAGTGCAGCTTCTGCCCTGTTACCCTGTCCCCTGCTACACCAACATAATAACTCCACCTCCACGAGAGACATAGCACTTATGTCACTGTAGTTCGGGCGACACAGTATCTGTGTAGACACTGTGTTACTTACACAGCCTGTTGGCTGCCAGCCCCCAGTGAGGCTGACAGCTGGAGCCCTCCCTTCTGCTCCAGCACCCACAGTTTAGTTTAGTCCTCCCTTCTGCCCCGGCATCAATGGGGGGGACTGTGAGCCCATGCCCTGCTGACAACTTGGGCTGTCAGTGCAAGGGTTGGGGGGTAGATGTGAGTCCCGTGCCAGGTTGACAGCTCAGGCTGTCAGTGCTGGGGGGCCAGCAATGAGCCCCATGCCCAGCTGATAGTTTGGGCTGTCAGCGCCGGGATGGGAGGGAGGGGGCTGCTGTGAGCCTGCGTCTAGCTGACAGCTTGAGCTGTCAGTGCTGGGGTAGCTGTGACCTTCATGCAGAGCTACTGGGCTCCAGCTCTCAGCGTCCCACAATGCCCCACCTCAGTTGGTGAAAGTGCTCCTGGTGAGGACACGCACCACCCACAGAAGGAGCAAGTGTGGACGTGAACCATCACTTTAATTGCTGTGGTGCCTGTATGTCGACTAAGTCAACTTAATTTTGTAGTGTAGACCAGCCCTGAGCCTCTGGGCTCCATCATTCCTGTTTCACACTGTGTGCTCTACCCAGCAAGTCCAACTGAGGTAGACTCATATTCAGAGATTTTTATAGTCTTTGGGGATCAATGTACCTCAGCAAGTATTTGAAGTGACACCAGACAGCCTTTTGCAAACAGAGCAGGGTTTATTAGTCAACTGGAATGCAGCAATGGGAAATCCTTGGGTTAGCACAGATAAGCAAAGATAAAGACATAGTCCATCTTACCCAAGTCAGCACTACACACAGCTGCTGTGGACTCTTTTTGTTGTCTCTTTCCTCTTGTCTCCATGTCAGTCTCAAGTAAGAGTCAACAAAAGGATTCCACAGTCAGGAGCAACAGAGATTAGCAAACTGTGAAAGGGAGTGAGCTGACCACAGGAGCCATCAAAAACCTAAGGAAGAGCAGTGAAAACACCAGGTGGAAGAGTGGAAAAACCATGGAAAGCACCATCAGTATAAACTGCACGTGGAGAGAAGCAGAAGAGCAAAAGGTCCCATAGAAGGATAAGACCAAGGGAAGCCAATTCTGCAGGGAGCCTTGATATCAAATTGTTTCCCCAATTTAAAGAGATAGAGGGAGGAATATAGGTGACTTTAAAAGGCTTGGAGTACTTGTGGCACCTTAGAGACTAACCAATTTATTTGAGCATAAGCTTTCATGAGCTACAGCTCACTTCATCGGATGCATACTGTGGAAAATACAGATGTTTTTATACACACAGACCATGAAAAAATGGGTGTTTATCGCTACTAAAGGTTTTCTCTCCCCTCACCCCACTCTCCTGCTGTTAATAGCTTATCTAAAGTGATCACTCTCCTTACAATGTGTATCATAATCAAGGTGGGCCATTTCCAGCACAAATCCAGGTGTCGTCCCCCCCGCCCCCACTCTCCTGTTGGTAATAGCTTATCTAAAGTGATTACTCTTCTTACAATGTGTATGATAATCAAGGTGGGCATTTCCAGCACAACAGGGTTTAACAAGAACGTCTGAGGAACAGTGGGGGGGGGGAGGAATAAACAAGGGGAAATAGGTTTGAATAGAGACTGGGAATGGTTGATTCATTATAAAAAGTAACCTAAGTTAACTGTATCCAATTTGCAAATTAATTCCAATTCAGCAGTCTCTCGTTGGAGTCTGTTTTTGAAGTTTTTTTGTTGAAGGATAGTCACTTTGAGATCAGAAATCAAGTGACCAGAGAGATTGAAGTGTTCTCCGACTGGTTTATGAATGTTATAATTCTTGACATCTGATTTGTGTCCATTTATTCTTTTACGTAGAGACTGTGCAGTTTGACCAATGTACATGGCAGAGGGGCATTGCTGGCACATGATGGCATATATCACATTGGTAGGTGTGCAGGTGAATGAGCCTCTGATAGTGTGGCTGATGTTATTAGGCCCTGTGGTGGTGTCCCCTGAATAGATATGTGGACACAGTTGGCAACGGGCTTTGTTGCTAGGATAGGTTCCTGGGTTAGTGGTTCTGTTGTGTGGTATGTGGTTGCTGGTGAGTATTC